CCCTGACTGATGTTGTAAGACCACAACATGCACACACAGTTTTTATTTGTGTACTTTTCTCCAGTCTCTAAGCTGTTGGAAGGCATTACTCATAACTCAATTTGGTGAAAATCTATCTCAGTACCCAAGGTTGAGTTAAATGCACCAAGTATTTGTAATCGCCTCTCTCCCTCCCCTAATTGTAGGAGGGAGGGGGGGTGCAGAGCATTTGAAACCTGAAAATCAAGCATTCAGCAAAATGTTGGGGAGGCCCACCAATCTGTGCAGCCAGGCAACTTCACATAATGAAGTGTTGCTACAACCTGCTGGATGCAAATGATAAATTTAACCTTAAAAATGGCTCAACATTCCAAAAGCCTGGTAAGCAAGCTGATTTCTTTAAAAAGAGATGAAGCATTGTCTAAATGGAGGAGGCACTGATACAAAAAAAAAAAAAAAAAAGAAGAAGAAGAAGAAGGCTTTTTTATAGCTACTGGAAGAGAGTAACTTGTCCATATTCTGTGGGGACATTACTCCTTTCAGGGATCTGTTGCATATGGATTTTCTGTCAAGCCACAGTTTCTCTGCCTCTAGGCACATTGGAGAAACTACTATTGACACAGTTGAGAATAAAATTTAAGGAACTCATGACCTGGCAAAGTGGAAAGGGCAGAAAATATAAATGCATCAAAAAGAATTCTGAACAGATTTCTTTACTCCTGGTGCTGTAACCCCTACCTCTCCACCCCATTTTCTAAGGTCAGTTACAAGATCCTCCCCTTCCTTTGCATCTGTACTGACATGTAGTTGAACCCAAGTGGAGTGTGGTGTGCATCGGGCCAATGAAATGCCCCATCCTTAGTATTACACACCCCAGGGAGACATGTAGGACTCCTGGTTTTCTCTTTAACACCCAAGAGAAGGCAGAGGGCTGTTACTCTAGACGTAGTTGGAAATTCTTTAGGAGGAAAGGGATTTTCTTGTCTGATTTGCACCTTTCTCATTCAAAGGGAACAAAGTAAAGTCATATCTGACATGGGGATTTAAGAAAAGCAGTTGGGCCAAACGTTTGAGGGGAGAATAAACTTACCAGATGCAAACAGTTTGGACCTTCAAGGGAGATCCTTCAGCCTGTGTTATCTTTTTGCCCTGGGTTTACCTTTTGAAAAGGCTGAAAAGAAGTCACTTGTGGGTGGCTAGGTGTTAGTAGGGCTGGATACCACACACCAGGTAGTTCTTGGAGAAGGTAACAAAAGCATCTCTCATTCTGCCATAACCACCATGCCTGGCCTTCTAAACGGAGGAGACTGAGCAGTCTGAGTCTTTCCAGAATATTCATGGACTAAAAAAAACAGTAGTCAATTCCAACTCATGGTACGATCCCATATGTGTCCATCAGGTTTTTAGTGGCTGATTTTTTGGAAGTAGATCACTAGATTTTTCTTTGGAGGCACCTCTGTGTTAATTGAACCTCTGACCTTTCGGTTAGCAGCCCAGCTAATTGAAACATTAACCATTTGCACCACCTGTTGTTGTTGTTGTTATGTGCCATCGAGTCGGACCCGACTCACAGTGATCCCTCCTTGGGTTTCCAAGGCAGTATCACTATGGAAGTAGATTCCCCCATCTTCCTTCCAAGGAGTGGCTGGTGGGTTTGAACCACCAGCCTTCTGGTTAGCAGTCAAGTGCCTTAGGCACTATGCTACCAGCATCACCTAGGCACTCCTTATGGATTACAAATCCTATTCAATAGTACTGCTTCCTTAAGCTTCACAGTTAAAACAGTGCTTTACATGTATACAGCAGTAAAAACAATCCTTTCCTCGGCATACACTGGTACCTTTGTCTTCAGAATTCATGGCATTTGCTTTAAAGGAAGGGACAAGTATTGTTGTTGTTGTTGTTGTTAAGTGCCATTGAGTTGTTTCCGACTCATAGCGACCCCATGCACAGCAGAACGAAACACTGCCCGATCCTGCGCTAGCCCCACAATCCCTGCTATACTTGAGCCCATCATCGCAGCCACCGTGTCAATCCATCTCGTTGAAGGCCTTCCCCTCTTTCGTCGACCCTCCACCCTACCAAGCATGACATCCTTTTCCAGGGAATGCTCCCTTCTTACAACATGACCAAAGTAGGTGAGACGAAGTCTGGCCATTCTTGCTTCTGCAGAG